AGGAAAAACATGATCTGCTTGTCGCCGTTCTGGATCTGAATAAAAGGAGAGAAGGGGAGGTGGTATAAGGCTGGGCTTTGAAATCCCTCCCCCCGCCAACCCCCAAAAAAGGAAATCATTAATGTACCTCTTCCCTTCCTCATCACTCTCCATCACTCCCCAGAAAACCCCAGCGTTTTCAAATCTACCAAACAACCCCCAATGGAACACCGTGGGCCCTTGATTGATTCTTTGATTGGCCCTTTCCTTTTGGAACAGCCTTGATTGATTATTTGTTTTTTCTTAGGGGCGTGAACCAACAGCTCTTACTGTACTCACTCAGAGTATAAACGGCCTCCGCTGGTGGGTCACTTATATATAATCTATTTTAAAACAGTAAGCTTAATTCGTGTTAGCAGTCTTGACTTTTCCCTTAGCTTAGTCAATTTGTTTTGTTGTTTCTAAAGTCAGGATAGAACGATAAAGAAAAGTAATTTGATTGGTATGGCATGTCATCAAATGACGTCGACGGATACTGAACTCCAAATACCTGTATAAAAAGTACTAATCATTAGAGCTGAGTAGATACATTGTATCTCGAGCATCATGGGGTGTCCAGATATTTGGTGTTATTCTTTTTCTCACGGGCTTTGACTCAGTCATGCAGAGAACTTTACTCGTCTTGAACAGTACTTAATAGTAATAATTTTTAAACTGACAACAATTTTGGATGATTTTCAGTGCCAATTACAATCCTGAAACACATTCAAAAGCCCGTAGCTATAGTCTCTGGCGAGCTGCCGCCTCGGGGAATTTTCATTCACGTATATCTGAGGAGTTGAAGTAAACGACGTTAAGAACATTTAATAATAACTATAACAGACTTTTTTTTTGTCGTTTGACTTTCTTTCCAGTGGTGATTTTAGTGATTGCTGTGGGGTTTGCACCGAGAATCGAAATGTGAAGAAGTGCTCAGCTTGTAAAACGGTAAGTGCTCTTAGTTTGCAACCCATAGTTAGCCTATTTAGGCTCTTTTTCGCCGGGAATAGATTTGTTTTCATTAATAGTCCATTAGAGAATTTCCTTGCCTGCGAATCCAGTCGCCTTTCATTTCTCCCGGCGAGTTCGACGTTTCGCGACAGAGATCCCCCTAAAAAGTGTCCACGGAGTCGTCTTTGTTGGCCTTTCGTTAATACACGTAACGAAACAAAATCTATTTTTAAACATTGTAAAAAAACAAATATGAGAGATATAATCAGCTGGTGATCTTCTTTTGTTTCGCTTCCAAGAGCGGCAATAAAACGCCCAGTTATCGGTTTACTCCGACTGAGGTTTACTTGGACTGCTTAAATAAAAAAACATCTTAAGAATTATCGTTTTGCCCCATTGATGAATCCTCCCGAGGCAATTTTATACTTCTGGGTACATGTATTATGGTCAGCTTGAGCCTAGTGTCCCATAAGGCAGGGGCTTATCTCCGGTTTCATTAGGAGTTTGTCTACTCTAGATGGGATGTTGGTCCGTCGCAAGGTTCTCCCCTCCCCCGTCCCTTCATTATGTTAGGTGGCTCATAACGGTTTCCAGCATTTTTCAGCAAGTCTTCGCTGTTGGAGTCTTCATCATATAAGTTTTCATTAAAGTAAAGCCTCTTGTCCAAGATCACAGGCAATTCTCGTCTCACGAGTCCTACAATCCCTAGAACAAGTGGAATTTGTCTGAAATATTTATCAGCTCATCAAGGCATTCTGTCTTTTCCCTCAATTCTATCCCTGCTCGGTCCTTGTCAATGAAAACTGGCTGGTGAATGCAATTCCTCAACAGGTTGGCTACTGTAGCGTCAGATGTCAAAAGCTGCATTGGCAAACACACAAGAAGTTTTGCAAGCAGTTAGCAAAGGAATACGAAGAGATGCTTGCCGCAAAGCTGGCGGAAGAAAAATTGGACCAAGAGATGAAGAACAAAGGTGTAAACAAGACCGTGGTCAATGGAAATGCTGGTGAAAATTTGAACACTGAAAATTCAGAGACTGAAAAAGACGAGAAAACAGATACACAACCTCATAGTGCTATGAATGGTACTAGCCCTGAGCCAACAGAAAACCAGACCAGTAGTGTTCCTGAAGAGAAAGCTTGACACCTCTAAACGTCCTTGAAGTTCCTGTTTCTAATTTATAAAAACGTATCGTTATGTTCACTTGTCACAAATCGCCATGTTCTGAATTTTCAGAAGGAACAAAGTTTTTTTTTTTTTTTCGACGGAAAAGGTGCTATTTCCTTTAATGAAGAGCTATAAAAACGTATAGCGAAGACTTGTAATGTACTTCTGGAGGTAATTCTGTAAATTTTAGGACAGCAAACGCCAACGATTAAACAAAAACAGCAAAACTTAGTCTTGGGGTCCGCTGTCCTTTTTACTTTCGTGGTTAACTTTGAATTTGTGTGATAATTTTAACTTTCTGAAGGAAAAATGTCCCCCACCAGGCTAGAGAAAGGACGTTGGNTGCTAGACTTGTAATGTGACTCCATCTGAACCAAAAGCCTCGATCGGAGTTACTTGATCTCAAACAATAGCAGTCTTACCCGGATTCTACACTCTTTGCCTTTCCTGTGATCCTGAAGGGGGGGTCCTACCTTCTATGGCCTGTACGAGGATGTACCACCGGACTAGGTGTGGTATTCGACCGCGCTGGAAGTGAGTAAGTGTGTACTTACATGGTTTGTACAGTATTGAGCAATCCACAATAGGCCACTTTACAGTTGTTGCTTAGTTACCTGGCCTATGAATGCAAGCGAGGCTGGAGTTGACCTTACTTTGATACAGACTTCTCTGCTTTTTTCATTTAAATGTCAGCTCGTTAGCATAAGAACAACTTGATTAACACAACAAAAGCAGTGAGGTCTGTATCAAAACAAGGTCAACTCCAGTCAAAGGCCAGGTCGCTGAGCAGACAACTGTAAAAATAATGGCCTATTAGAGAAAAGAGACGTTTGCCTATATTTAGAAGCACGTCAAATAAACATACAAATTTCAGGACAAGGAAAGACATGTACATGTTTGATATGTCAGTATCCTTTGATTCCACCAAATTCTTTGTTGTAAATAAGGTTCTAGAATAGCCTGACAGTGTTGTTCCACGTGGGACGTGCATTGCTTCCAAAAACCATAGCAATGGTTAATTAAGAGTATTAATTAAGATTAACATACTTGGGAATAATTATCTCTTCCACCAGTTATTAAAATAAAATTTTGACCGCAACCCACGGGTTGGTCAATTTCAGTTTTCCCGAAGCTTCACCGTGAGGATTTGATGAAATGAGCAGGTCCACCATGGGGCATTTACAACTTTGCTTTTTTTCCAAAACAACAACAAAATAATAACAAATCAAATACCAGGGGGGATGAGAAGGTTTGAATTTTACAAAGTTATCAGAGTTCGTGAAATATCTTGCAGCAAAAGTTCACGGAAATCTTGCTACATGGGTCACCCTCGGGGTAATAGACAGTGGCCGTTTTAAGGGGGCTGGCCGTTTGAAAGAGGTAGAAGTAACAGAAAAGCCCTCATCGGGACTTTGATTACCGGCCGCCCGACAGGGGTGGCCGTTTAATAGGTGTTCTACTGTATACGGCAAATGGAAACAGAGGTGTCGGATAGTCATTTGATTTCAAACACACCTGTTGATTTGAATACTCGCGGAAAATGTTCACCAGCAACCTCGTTCCCAGAACTGCGATTCTTTTGGTCACCGCTGACCGAAACCACTCGGGCTCTGGGACGAAATTGGGCTAGGTTTTTCGAGCATTGTTCATATATCATGATGGGGAAAGGAGAGAATGAGAGTGAGTGACCTTGGACCGTCCTAGAATCAGGAGTCAGGCTTGTGTTGCAGACATGAATTTGTCATACTTAGCTGAAACCATCGCGTGCGCGAATGAACCATCTTTCTCAGATACGGTGCTACATTGAAAATCAAAGTCTAAACGAAATCAATTCTTTCCCTGGTTGATTTGGCTGAAGAGTCGCAACGGAACAGTACATTCAAGTCGCGAATAATTTTTTTTTTCAAAGGTAGCTTTACCAAAGAAACACACGCCTGATTGTCTCTATTAAGTTTCCTAACGCGATTCTCAAAAAAAGCAATTACTTATGCTGTGTTTAGACGAACAGTTTACCGAGGTACCAGAGTTAACTTAACTAGGTAAACATTTTCCATGTGTAAACGCTAACTGATACTTTGGTAAATGCTGCAAAAGACAAAAGAAATTTAACCGAGGTAAAAGTTGTAATTACCCTGTGATCAGCCATGGTTACAGTTGGTAACCAAGGTCAAGATGA